AGATGTGAATAAGAGACAGGAAAATCAATAATCGATAACAAGTGCAAAAACTAGTATTGATAGAGAGCAAATGAATTTGAATTGAAATATCGATATCGTCTCCTTGATGCAGATCGAACTAACACAATTTAGAAGAATCAATACATGGATGAATTATTATCGATTAGAAATGCATATGTTGAAACTTTGTTCGTTCTGAAATATAATGATTGTATTTCGCATGACTACATAGTGGTCTTGACGTGGTGACTTGACTTTGTTGATAGATTGTATTTTAGAATGTTCTACAAAAGAATATTATTGTTGGTGAGAATTTCCTTTTTTTCTTTTCAATATGAAAACGAATATTTTGAATTCTTTAATTTTAATATGAAATTCGGTTGTGCTAGTTAAAAAAAGTGCAAGTTAAGATGATCTAGTGACAGATTTTGAACATAATCATACACGTCTTTATTTCATTTTATTCAGCTCCTGATTACAGTGTGCATTGCGTACGTTGTAGGTCGATGCCGTGAGGATGGAAAAGTGCCAGTCAGTGGTAGTGATGAATGGACTGGTGGCGAATGTAATGGTAAGTAGCAATGTGTTTATTGACGTTAACTTAGAAGTGGTTTGGCGCAGCAGGAACGGTTTGGTTTCCAAACATTGAGCTCAGGGTTTCAATCCCTTGCTGTGCATTTCGCTTGTTTCCATGAGCAAGGCACTTTATCTACAATGCATTGCTTCTCTCCACCCAAGTGTATAGGCCTAAATAGGTACCTTGTGGGGTTGCCTGCTCCTGCGCTCATTACAGCATCAACACTAAGCTTGTGACGACAGGGTCAAAAGAGCTTCGTATCTGCAAAGAAAGGCGCTATGTAAATAACTGAATATTTTTATTTAAAAAATATATAGGCCTACATCTACTAACTGGCTTAACTGCAGCTGATGTGTAAAATAGTACAAAGATTGCCCCAACTTTCTGTTTTTAATTTTATTTTGAAACATATTTAATGAGGATGAAACATTCTGCAGAAGTTGATCATTTGGAACCCCTAAAATAGATAGGATCTAGCATAATTTGCAGACAGCGGCACCTTTAAACATTCGAAACAACACAGCCTCGAGTCAACGAGTTACAGAGCTCAAATGAATAATTTTTTTACGACATTATGATTGAGTAAGGGGTAAGGTCGGGCTAGCTGAAAAAATAAGGATATAAGACGGGATAAATATATTCTTCATTTTTGTGTCTAGAAAATTGGGGGACGCCTGGGGAAGCTTTATTGGAGGAGCGTGCGCCCGCAGATGCGCCACTGGTAGAATGTGATGCAGCCTGAGCTACAGTTTAGGTTTATGCCACTCAAAAGAAGTTATGAAAATAATTCCATGCTCAGACATAAAAAAAGCCACTGGTTTCGACAACATTCCATCAAAATAATTTTCTATAGCTGCAACTTATATATCTGTGCCATATGCCATTAACGTACATTTTCAATCTTTCATTTAACTTGTCTAAGTTTCCTACAACATCATTTAAAACTGCAAGGGTTATTCCTGTATTTAAAAAGGTGTAAAAGAAAATCTTGGAAATTACAGGCCTATTTCAATTCTTCCAGTATTAAGTTAATGTTCTTGAAAAATTGTATAATAAACTTTAGTCAATTACTTTGAAAAAAATTAACTTGTTTTATAATCGTCAATATGGTTTTATAGAAACATACAGTACTAAGTTATCCCTTAACATTTAGTTAATAGCCTTTAATTTTATCAGACCATGAAATGTCCTCTATTATTGATTTTCGTAAAGCATTTGACACAATTGGTCATGAAATATTACGTTCTAAATTATCTCATTATGGTGTAATAGAGGAAATGCATTATTTTGGATCTATGACTATCTTAGTAAATTGAAAACCATTTGTTTCATTTTGTTCTTTTACTTCTAATAATTTACCTATTACTTGTGGTGTGCCTCAAAGCTCAGTCCTTGGCCCAATTTTATTTTAAATTTATATCAATAATCTTCCAAACCCTACAAATTATTTCAACTTTCGAATGTTTACCGATGATACTAACTTGCTTCATTCCTTTCAAGATACTATTGATTTTTCCGTTATTAACACTTAATTTCAAAATGTTGTTGACTGGTGCAATTCAATATTGTCACTTATATTTTCTACCTATTTGACTCTATGTGCATTCATCCGCTATTTAATTAACTTTATTGACTTTATTTCAAAATAAATCCATATGTATGCGTGTGTATTATTACTATTATTATTATTATTATTATTATTATTATTATTATTATTATTATTATTATTAATATTATTATTATCTCTATGGTTAGACACAGAACGCGCATCGCGTTGGAAACAAAATGGCTTCTAAATTCTCAATGTCGCAACTCTTTCTATCTATGGCTCTGAGTTACTATAAGAACAAAGCCCGACTTGAGATAAGCCACCTAGTTCAGACTGGCAGGTGGATAAACCCGGTGAGTTGAGCCGGGTTTATCCACCTAGTCTGAACGCGTAGCATAGTGACGGTGCGTTGAAAATATTTAAAGTAATATAGACAGTAACAAGGCAATGTACAAGATGTGAAATTAAAAGGATTCTTAAAACTACAAATCTTCATCAACAGAAAAAAAAATGTACTCATTAGGCCTAGTCATAATTTTTACCATCTATAATAACATTTCTTTGGGGTTTTTTTTCTTCTCTATTTTAGAGTAGTGTAGGCCTATAAGATACAATTTCGTTCATACAAGTAAATTAAATTACATGTGTTAATTAATTAGGTTTTGCAATTTATTATATTAATTCTCTGTTTCCATGCCATTTTAAAGTACGAGATACAAAGATCATTCATAAATTTGCCAGTTTTCAAGTAGTATATGCAGCTTAAATCTTCCCTCATGAATGATGTGATTTTGTTTTCAGCAGCGATTTGGAAATTCTTAAATTGTAATGTAATGATTAAGAGATGATTTACTGACTGCATTACGAATCCAGTTAACATTAACCTATGTATCTGTGGTATCTCTTACAGTTTTTCAATTAATTTCTCACCATAGCCAAATCTGTATCTCATGCTCTCTTCTGTACATGTTAATTGAAGCGTTAAATAGTTTTGGCCACCTGTGGAGTTCCATATCTTGCAACCTAGATAAATAATTTACTTTTGTATATTGTTGAGTAAAACTGATGGGTTGTCGCCCTAAATCTCCAAGTAAGGCTTCTGTGGGGGTTTTGTGGCTTGCTTTTTATCTGGCCATAAGTGTTTGTAAGTTTTCAATAGACCGAATCGACGACTCCAGCTATTACTGGTCACGTGACATAATAGTGTGTACAAAATATAAACATACACCTCGTAAATCGCTCATTGAACATAGTATATTTGAGAGAGTTATTATGTTTTTTAGACAGCAACCCAAAGTAAAGTAAGGCAGTAGGCCTATGTTTCTTTTTCAATAGTGATTTATAATTACTTTGGCAATCTTCGTGCATTTTATTTAGGCTCTGGAATGCTGCTAGTGTACGGTAGGCTACATACAGTTAGGCCTATAGGACTAGGCTGCACTGTGAGTGTTAAGCCTTGACCAAGGGGAGGGAGTTGTTATGCCTCGACTATGTATATCTCTATAGTCGAGTACTGTAGGTAATAATTAGAAAATAACCCTTAACAGTACTGATTGCTCAACCAAACTTGTGAAACAGGTTGGTAAAAATTATAATAGGCCTGGTTGGTATGGTACATCCTAATGCCAGTACGTAATAATAATAATATGTCATATGATGATCATTATCTCGGCAGTAACTACAAACATCCTATGATTTAATTTTGGATTCAAAATCACTGTAAAATAATACTCTTGCAACGAATGGGGAGATTCGGGTTTTTTTTTTTGTTTTTTTTTTTTTTTTTCTGTTGCCTCAGCCGGCGACGACTCATTGGAGCAATATGCACGTCGTGAAGGTACCGTACCTTTCCTTGAAAAACTTTAGTAAGGCTTTATTCCTACTATCCATTGCAGTCTTACCAAACCCTTCATATCTATGTCGCATGGAAACTAAACTGAGCAAGCATAATTTAAACAAGGAATAGCAAGTGTACGTTATAGAATATCTTCATAAACAACACGATTATAATAATTTTGCTCGTCTATGATTAATTTGTTGTATCCAATTAGCCTATTTCCTTTTTTTAGGGTTTCTTCAACATGTTGGTGTTCGGATAATGAGTTACCAATTATTCGAAAATTTAGTAGCTACATCTCTA